GAAAACTCCAGGTGCGACTGCACAAAAGTTCGAAAGAACCTATCGAAGCAGTCTTCCTCGGAGGAATATAATTCCTGTTTGACGAGGTACATGACTGACATCACGGAATTGGCTACCTTTGAGCAGTGCAGTGAAGGTTTACGTAGAGTCGTGGTCTACACACTCAAGTCCTTCCGGGCGTTCGCTTCCGGCAATGACATGCGGTTCAGAGATCTGGTTACGCCGCCCCTTTGAAAGTGACACTTTTTCACGTTAAACATCAAAAACCAATCACTAGACCACTGCTCGAGTCAGTTTAGGTTTGCCAGCAACCCTTCTTCGTCAGCTCCATTTCAGATGCTACTCCAAATCTTTATATCATCTGCAAACAGAGCGACATCGCAATCCAGTTCAGTGTCGCATTCACTGACATCCATAAGTAACAGACTAGGGCCAAGAACGGTGTCTTTGGGAACACTACTCTTAACGACAACCTCCACCGATTGCTGGTAACTGACACGAACAGTTTATGGGCTTCAAATTCGCAAATACAGCTCACCACTTACCCATATACGGTTGAGTTTGCACAGATGACGATGGTGAGGCGTGCTACCGAAAACCTTCATGAAGTCGATACAGACAGTATGCACCGTATTTTCTCTGTCACCTTTCCGAGTCCATGATTCTAAATAGTGGAGTAGATCCGTCCCACAGGACCAGCACCTACGGAATTCAAAAAGTCAGCTAATTTTTTTCTGGGAACTGCACTACTTGTCGCTTAATTATTTTAAATAGTTCTACGGCAAATGAAGGCAAGGCGTACTTGTCCGTTATTGTATGCGGAGACGCGACCTTTATCCTAATACTGCGGTGTCGTCCACGCAGAAATCCGACCTCAAGGAATGCATGAAAAAGCATACGAGATGGTTTTACCAACTGACCGGCGAGTTCCTTCAAAATCTTCGCTAGTACCTCCTCAGAACCTGACGGCCCCAGCAGCTCTTTCAGAACAACTGCTTCTGGAAATTGAACGGTCTCAATTATTGTGGCCTCTTCGAAGTCACTCTCGGGGGGATTCAATACAATTTCCCTAGTGAAAGCAGGCTGTTAACATTCTGAAGGATAATCTGAATACAGTACACACTGACTCTTTTGAAACACTGACCAACATGTTTACGCGAACTTTCAAATGGAAATGTTAGTTAAGTAGTTTTTTAGTGATAGTATTTATGCTGTCTGCTGATTAAGAAAGCTTCCGAGCATCTATTCCAATCATAAACCATTTATGCGTCCCACTCTCCATTTATTTTGTCGTCTATGTTAACGTGCATTGTATATAGTCATTCCATAAAAAACTCCAGCTTCCTTAGACGCAACTCTGGAAGTAGTGCCCACTTCGGATTTAAACTAAACACGATAACTCGTAGCTATCTATTTATATAAGCGCTGTTTAAAACTTATGCGCTTGGGGTTTCTTAAACAATTTGACATGCAGATACACTGAAGACAGTTTCACAACTACTCATGAAGACTGGAAAATGAATTGCAACATTCGTAAAATGTTGCTTTTAACGCGTACCAGCGACACGTTCTGATTAGTCCTCCTGCGTGATAATGTCGTTTCACTTCCATCATTGTTCGCTTAAACGCCTGTGTCAGAAGATGACACAAAATAATTTTCTTGGCTCTGCTGATCTACGGAGAAAATCCACTATTACGAGAGCATCCACTCTTTCAGCTTATTATATTTTTGTATCGTAAGCAGTGTCCAGTTTACAAATGTCAATGGCATATGACGTGTCCCTATTTGCAGTAGTGCATATAAAGTAGTGACAACCATGTTACTGATGTTATTTAAACAGCATTGTTATAGTAACTAATTAGTTTGGGTAGCCGCTGCTGCGTTCGTGTTCATTGCCATAACTCCAGAACGTATTTCTTCTTAAAAATGTCAGGTTGAACTTTCAGGTCATGGTTAAATCAGGCCTTAAAACAGCCCTTTGCATAATGCGTAGCCACGCATGGTAATCCGCTATCTTCATGCATCGAAGGGAGGGCCCCCAATCGTCTAACCTACAAACACTATCATCTTGCGAAGGTGGTACGGAGATTTAAGCACCTCACAAAAATGTTCTTTCATGCAATTAGACTGAGTGGTGGCTGGTTAAACGTAGCTGGAGTGCTGTGCACTTTTTTACGTTGTAAGTAAGCTGCCATTCCTCAGACAAATTCAGCAGTTGGCTCAAATCGCTCGTGTTTTTTGCCAGCACTGCCAACTCCCCATCCACCATGGCCGCCTCCGCAATCGGGTCAGCAGCTCGCGAATTGTTCTGCTCACATTTCCATCGTACATCATCGCATGGTGCATTCCGCCCTCCTCTTCGTGAAATGTTGGTGTATACGTGTGTGTATGGGGGCAGGGGTGTCCAGTTGCGGGTCCAGGTAACGGTCCTAGTGGGTCGCTCACTTACTTGCAGGTGCAGGCTACGCCCAGCGTCAATTAACTGTCACCCAACTCTCACATGTGGCTCCCCGAAACTAGACTCTGCCTAGCAACCACAGCCTGGTAACCGCCTCGACCAGCGGGCTAAACCAGGTGAGGGTGTCCATGTGTGCATATCCACACAAAGTAACTCGACTCCGCTCCCATCATCGCTGGTCAGATGGATCACCGCCTCGGCAGCCCCGAGATGAGGCCCCGTCTGCAATTCCGCAGGAGGCCACAAACACCCACCAAACTACTGACCCAGTGGCTGGAAGACTGTCCTCCTACCTCTCCTCCGCATCTATTCTCCGCCCTTCTCTGCCCCCGACTCCCTCTACCCTCTACTCTTATCTTATCCCGCGGTCGAATGTCCCGCGGATCATCCCATCGCCACCGCCTAGATGAAGCTTCGACAGCAACCTTGCAGGAGGACACAAGGTATATCCCCCCACACCCTTCCCCCAAGTAAGCCGAATATTGCTTTGTTGATTTTGCTTTTTGCTTGCACGCCTTTGTATGCTTGTTTGCTTTCTGTCCTTGTTCTAGGCCAAATACCGTTCTGTTGAATTTGTCTGCTCATCGTTTGTATTTTAACAACCCTACATCCTGTCTTCCTAACCTTCCCCATCGCCCTCCCCATTCAAAATTCCTACGGCGAGAGCGGCAACGATCACGAAGGCGGTTTAGGCTAACCGAGGCCCTTCTCCCACTAAACAAAGTCGTGGCCAATATTGGAGCCCGGCAGTCGTCTGAGACAACTGAGCAGCTCTATTTAGGGAGACTACGACTAACCTGAGAGGCCATCCACTCAAACTGCGTGTGGCTGGTGCCCGGCTAGACACCCGAAAGTTCCTCTTCTCCAGCAGAGTGGTTGCAGCTTGGAATGCCTTGCCTGAGGATGTTGTTATGTCGGGCTCCGTAGATACTTTTAAACGGAGGCTAGATCAGCATTGTAGCGCGCACCACAATAATGCCGGACTACGGCCACCTTGACAGCCAACGTTGACAATTTAGTGTTATAACCAACTACTACCAACATTTAAGTAATATATGTTTATGTAAATATTGAGTTTGGTCCACGTCGCACACCGCTTCTCGCACTCACCTCGATGCCTGTAGACTAAACAATTTTACTTCTTTTCCGTATCTTAAGTGTGCCTCAACTGTCCGCTGTATTTGATCAACAAAGCCAGTTAATGTGCCTCTAAATTCTGTTAACGCATGACATTCTGTGTTCATCTGTACAGTTTTTGCTATTCCCCTCGCATTTCTTTCATGTTACTTCCTTTCCATTTCCTCCATATGTATCCTCTGTATGTAATCAATAGGGATTTCAAAGGTACACACCTACTTTCCCTGACATATACTGATACTGATAGAGCACTGCTCCCCGCAGCGAGGGAGAAGGAGCGAGAAAAGGTGTCTTAAACCAATGCTGGGACGAGAGCGACAACGATCACGTAGGCGGTCCAGGCTAGCTCGGGTCGTTCTTCCACTAACGCAAATTTGTGGTCCATATTGGAGTCCGGCAGTTGTCTGAGCCAAGTGAGCAGCTCTGATCAGCCCCGCAAGGGGGAAGGAGCTAGAAAAGGTTCCCTAAACAAATGCTGGGATCATGTCCTCTCTGCGCTGAACGAGGCTCGCAGATGCAAAACATACGGTCGAAACCAGCAGACAATAAACAATACTCTCTCTCTCTCTCTCTCTCTCTCTCTCTCTCTCTCTCTCTCTCTCTCTCTCTCTCTCTCTCTCTCTCTTCCCCCTCCCCTTCGACCCACGTTGAAGGCAGCCAAGATGCGTCCGCTCACTCTGGCAGCCTGGAATGTTCATTTCTTTTTAGGCAATCCGAGAAACAACCGACCGGAACAGAGGACGACACTAGTGACCCGGAAACTGGCGCGTTACAAGATGGGACATGGCTACACTCAGCGAGACCGACTTTTCAGGAAAAATCCAACTGGAGGAGGTGGGTGACGGCTACACCTTCTTTTGGAACGGTCGTGCTTGCCATCCTGAACGACATCGTGGGGTGACTGTCGTGTCTGTCGCAGGACATCAACAATCGTCTGATGAGCCTCCGTCTGCCTCTCCGGCGAGGAGGCAAATTCGCCACCATCATCAGCGCCTAGGCTGCGCCGATGACAACCTTTGACGTTGCAAGGAACAAATCCTACGAGGACCTGCACGCCCTACTGATTAACGTGGGGATGAATTGGTCTTCCTTGGTGCTGGGTCCCCATTGTCTGGACGGCTCCAATGACAATTACCTACTCGTTTTTCGAACCTGTGCAGAACACTGCCTCATCCTGACAAACACCTCCTTCCTCCTTCCGATGCGGGGAAGGCTACCTGAATGCCAGACTATGTCCTCATCCGGAGGCGAGACCAGCGGGACCTGCTGGTGACAAAGGCGATTCCGACTCCCAATGGGTATGCCGACCATAATCTGGTCATCTCCGAGATGAGGATTCGCCTACAGCCACACTGGATCCGTCTCTAATCTACATTCGTGGATCTGATGAAAGCCATCGATACGATGAATCGCGAAGGACTGGGGAAAATCATGCAGAAATTCGGCTGTCCCGAACGATTCACTCAGATGGTGCGTCAGCTCAAAGATGGCATACTGCCGCGAGTCACAGGCAACGAAGTGAAGCAGGGCTGCGTCCTCGCACCCACACTCTTCAGTTTAATGTTCTGCGTCATGTTACTGGACGTCTGCTGTGACGAACGCCCCGGGATCTGCACCGCCACCAGGACGGACGGCCAACTCTTCAACCACCAGAGGATGCACTTCCAGTCTCGTGTATCCATAACTATCGTCCATGAACTTCTCTTCGCCGACGACTATGCCCTCAATGCCACCTCCGAAGAAGGCATGCAAAGGAGCATGAACCGCTTCAACGCCGCCTGCGACAACTTCGGCTTGATCGTCAACACGGAGAAGACGGTGGCTGTGCACTAATCGCCACCCGACGCTGCCTACGACACATCCCATATCAAAGTGAACGAGTTGTGGCAACTTCACCTCCCTGGACAACACCCTCTCTTGCAACATCGAAATCGACGATGAAGTGTCCTGACGGATTTTGAAAGCCAGTCAAGCCTTCGGCTACGTCAGTAATCGACACAGTCTCCACCTCAAGATCACACTAAAGTTGTACAAGGCAGTCATACTACTGATGTAATACCATCCTCCTCCTCCTCCTCTCCCTCCTTCATCGCCTCAACATCGACTGAAGCGGCTCCTGTACCCACCACCACTGCACACAATCCTGACGCACAAACATATATCAACCTCAACACCGCCAACACCAGCGATGTGTACTTGGTGCATACCTGTCCTTATTGCGATCGCATCTTCACCTCACACATCGGCCTAGTCGGTCACTTGCGAATCCATCGCACAGAGACTAGTGAACCGGTGCCTGGAGCATCAACCTGCACTCGTTGCATTCGCCGCCACTGTCTGCACTGTCCTCGCACATTCATGCACCGCATGGGCCTATTTGGCCACATGCTTATTCACGATAGCTCCACCACACTCAGCGCATTTTGAACACCCAGCATACTTAGCCAACACACACCCGGTCGCCCAGCGTTTCCATCATCAACAGCGAAACCGATGTCATCATCTCCGAAACCGACACTGACACCGCGGACTTTTCCTGTCCTTACTATTCCCGCACATTCGTCTTATCCACCGGCCCGGTCGGTCACTTGCGAATCCATAGTCCAGAGACTGGCGAGCCTGTGCCCGGAGTACCAACATACACCTGACGTATCCGTTCCCACTGCGCCCACCGCATCCGCACACTCATTTGCATTCATGAAAAACTGCGGTAGACAACCGCTGGCTAAACCACACCATCATACCTTCCCCACCTCCATCACACAGCATCACCCACCACAAGCATCCAATTGTCACCTCCCACGCGAGTGGAGAGTGTGTGTCTCGGCTCCGTCTCCATGCGGCTCCTCCGCTGAATGTGCGATCCGAGTCTGAGACCATCGTGATGAGTCAAGTAGCGTGGCTTTGAAAGCTGATGAATGACATCCCAGCTCAGTCCACGCATTCTGCCCAGTTATGTGTGTGTTTGTGTGGAGTGGCGAACTAATGGGCTGGGGGCCCAGCTGAAACAGTTCTTCCTTAACATGACCTACGACACCACGCATGTGAAATGTACGCCGTTCAAAGCCCGTTTTGCTAAATTCTCGTGCTTGTGTTTGGGGGGTCAGGTCGCGCATGTGACGCTCGCAGACAAAATCACTAGACTATGTCAGCCACCGCGCCCATTCCCGCACCAGTCAACTGACCGGCTCAGACAGTGACTGGAGACTGGGAAGGGAGAGTGCGGTCGACGACTCAACGCACTTTCTTCTCACTCTAAACAATCTGACGCGCTTGAAGCTATCACGGTGCGCTAAAAGCCGTGGCTTGGGAGGTTGCCAACTGACGGGGTATCTTGGACCTCCTCCTTGACTGAAGGCGGTCTGAGAGTCAGGCTGCAATGGCTCCTTTTTAATGTGGCCTTTATGGCATTCCCACCACAGTGTGGGATCCGAGCCAGGCGTCGGCGGCACGCCCAGGTGCGGCTTCGGCCGTGCCAGCCTCCAAATCTCTGTTGTGTTGGTTGAAATCCTGGTTATTTCTTGTGTGGACCAGGGGGTGTGGTGGAACGCCAAGGTGAGGATCCGTCCGAGCCATCCACCTGCGGCCTCCCTCGTCTCCGGTCTTCTTGACACTGTCTTGACACCGGGCTCGGGCGAGGGAGGAGGAGAGGATGTAGGTAGATGCAGCGCAAGTCTACCGGCACTATAAACCCCTGCGCAAGTCACCGTCCCTGCTCCCACAGCTGCTGCAGCTGTGGGGCACACGGTGAACATCGTCGACATCGACGGTCGAACTGTCGTGTGTGGAGCGGCCGACTGGTGGTCTGAGAGTCAGGCTTCAATGGCTCCTTCTTAATGTGGCCTTTATGGCACTCCTCCCACTCCGTTGGATCCGAACCGGGTGTGACGGCACGCCTAGCTGCGGCTTCGGCCGTGCCAACCACTCTTTTGTTGTTGGTTAAAATCCTGGTATTTTGTTGTGTAGACCAGGGGATGTGGAGTGGAGCGCCAAGATGCGAGCTCGACCCCTGCCATCCACCTGCGGCCTCCCTCACCTCCAGTCCTCCTGACTCTGTCTTGATACCGAATCCAGGTGGGGGAGACGGAGAGAGTGCGGTAGATGTTCCGCAAGCATAAATTTACTATCAACAAACAGACAAAGTCACTAGACTATGTCAGCCACCGCGCCCATTCCCGCACCAGTCAACTGACCGGCTCAGACAGTGACTGGGGACTGGGAAGGGAGAGTGAGATCGACAACTCAGCGCACTTTCCCCGCTATAAACAATCTGACGCGCTTGAAGCTCTCACAGTGCGCCAAACGCCGCGGCTTAAAAGGTTAGCAAATGCTGAGACAGCTTGATCCTTGTCGAAGGACGGAGAATCGGGCTTCAGTGACTCCTCACTTCGGATTCGACCCCCCTTCCCTCTTTCTTCCTTTCCGTTTAACATCCTGTCTAGTTGTGCTTGGTGGACCAGAGACTGAAGTAGCACGCCTTGGTGCGGCCCCACACTGCACCAGCTGCCCGCGTCATCTGTCTTGATACGGGGTTCAAGTGCCAGACAAGGATCCGGTACGGGAGATGTAGCTCAAGTCTTCTATCACTGCAAATTAATTCACCGTTCCTGCGACCACCACGTCATTCGCGGTAATCAGACTGAGTGGAGGAATGGTAGGGACTCCGTAATTGAGTTCCGAGGGAGACACTACCGCCGGAACAAGTGTTTTGTTCGTCTGACGCTTCGGATTCCCGCTCGAACCCATCATCAGGTACAAATGGACAAGGGGCTGCAGTATTTATAGGATGCTGTCTCCCCATGCGACCGCACGCCCATGTTACTTTACTGTCCCCCCCCCCTCACCGGGCATAGTTGCACTTGGTGTGATGACTGTTCAATGGCCGTCATTGGCGTCGTTAATCGCTGCAATTTCATCACGGGTGTTAGAAGTTGGTGTGATAAGTACTCGACCAGCTGACTCACCGACCCAGTCTAGGGGGAAAAGTGCCCACCTCTGCGCTCCCCGTGTGACTAATTACTCTGCCTAAGCAAAGCCTCAGCAACGAATATCGAAAGGAAATGTCACTGCATTTGTTAATAGAGTAGGAGCCGCTGAATCAGAAATCCTGCAACTCGCGGCTCATGCGGTTGTCAACTATAGCGTGCGTGTGTGGCCGGACCTCGTCGGAATGAGCCGCAACTTGAGAGCTGGCGTAATTTCTCCGCACTGCTGCCGTGTGTTTGACTGTTTGTGTTCGGGACAGTTTTCCGGTTTCTCCAACGTAGTTACTTTGCCCGCAACTGCATCAGATCCGGTAAATGACTCCAGACGTTTCTTTTCGTGGCAGTGGGTCTTTTGGTCTCATCACCTGACGCCTAATGGTTGCCTCCGGTCTGTGTGCAACCCCAGCCCAAGTGGTGCGAGAAGGCGACCAATGGTTTCCGAAACGTTCTCGATATACGGAAGCGCCCGCCAAACTTTGGTACCCGTGCGGTTAGGCCTTTCGTCCTGTTTTCGCATGCACTAATTGGTGAAGTTGCGCGGGTAGCCACTTTCTCTAAAAACCTTTCGAAGGTATTGTAGTTCGGCAATTTTGTCTCCGGCTCACTGCAGTGCGTCTTGACACGCCGATATAGCGACCCTATACAACTGCGTTTGTGGCCGATTGGGTGGCTGCTGTTGAAGTTCAACATTGTTATCGTGATCGTCGCCTTCCTGAATACTTTGGTCTTTAGGCCATCACAATCTTAACGGCATACGAGAACATCAAGGAAAGTTAGCTGGTTATTTTTTCCTCCTCCGTTGTATGTCCGGGAAGCCAGCGTTGAGGTGTTCCTTGAATGTCGACAATCGATCCCGGTCGGTAACGATGAAGGCATCATCCACATGCCGAGTCCAGAACTTCGGTTTGTGGTGTTGGAAGACCAGCGACTCCAACCATTGCGGGACCGCCTTGGCCATGAATCCCGAAATAGTCGAACCCATTGGTGTGCCTTTCACCTGTTCGTAGATTATCCTGTCGAGCGTGAAGAACGTCCTGAGACAGAACTCCAGGAACTGAGGGACTTGGGCGTGTCCAAGACGGTTCTCCGTTTCATCGTATTTGTTTTATAGTAGCAGCTCGATTGTCTCGATCCCCAGGTCCTGCGGAATAGAGGTAAGAAGGAGTGTAACATCAAAAGATACCATGACTTCATTTGGAAGGAGGCTTGTCCCTGAAAGTTTCTCCAGGAATTGTGCTGACGAAGAGACCATGGTGTCTGACTCAGCGGTCAGGAACTTGAGACGCCGGAACAGCCGATTTGTCACATTCGCCCATTCCAAGTAATGGGTGCTGGCAAAAGTGCATTGATTCCGATTGAATATGAATATTTGCCTCACTTGCTAACCGTACATAGCTTGGTGTTTAAAATTACCAATACCCTTTAGGAATTGCTACAGCTTGGAACTTGGCTTCCTAAACACTGTGAACATCAGCGACCAAAACCACGTTTAAAATCAGCTAATGAAGCGTTGAACAAACTATGTGCTATGAGAGTTTGCAGGTGTACAGCCAAACGAATTCGGGTATCATCAGCGGAAACGGTGTCCCCTAAGCTAATGCGTGGACACCCGTCACTGACAGTTTGTGTACATGCATGTGACCGTCTAAGTCTGTCATTGTTCCAAGGCAATCGACTGTCCAACACCCCTTCGACAGATAATTGTACTGAGTTTTTTTCATAGTTTCTTTTATATCTACTTAACAAGCGCAAAGACCTCTCGTTACCATATTCGGTGTTGAGACATTCCCGGGCGTGGGGTATCAGTCACGTGGGGAGGGCGTGGGCGAGTGACAGTTACCGTGACAGCGGGCCAAATTTCCGAGTATTCATCACGTCAACATCCAACACGGATGACGAGATCTCGACTATCAACGACTCAGACGCGGACTGACGAACCAGCGTCGCATCAATTACGACCCCACAGCGGTGATCGCGACAGCTGTTAAAGTACGCATGTGATCCCACGGGAGCTACGTACTATAAATACTGCAGTCTTTGTGCCTCCACTACCCCTATCTGCGACTGTCTCTGATTATGAGTCCGACTGAGAACCCGAAACGTCAGGCCATTAAACTTCTTGTTCCAGTGGTCGCTTCTTCTTCTTCTTCTTCTTCTTCTTCTTCTTCTTCTTCTTCTTCTTCTTCTTCTTCTTCTTCTTCTTCTTCTTCTTCTTCTTCTTCTTCTTCTTCTTCTTCTTCTTCTTCTTCTTCTTCTTCTTCTTCTTCTTCTTCTTCTTCTTCTTCTTCTTCTTCGTCTTCTTCTTCTTCTTCTTCTTCTTCTTCTTCTTCTTCTTCTTCTTCAGAATTAGTAGTGCGATCATTGCTATGGTCCGCAGAGCACAAGAAGTTCAGCAGACGACGGGAACAACTGTTTAATCAGGTCTTGGGCCAGCTGTTGAGGTTGGGGCCACCGACGAGCATGTGCCCGAGCCATAACTCAGAACGATATCGATCGGCTTCACGCCGTCGGCAAGTCGAAGACTAAGTCACACGTGGCACAACCAGTCATCCGTGAAGTGAGCTCGCTCGCTGTTGCCAAGCTCTGCAGATATCCACAGGGCGCCGCGACGGTCTGCAGGCAGAGCGACGAAATAGATTTCACTGACGATTCACCCTCCAACGACTGCTTTATTGTCCCATCATTTCACTAGTTCCACGGACTTACCAACTTTTCGGTGTTTCTTTCCACTTAGACAACTTTAAACCAGCCTTCTTTTTCTTCTTTCTTGTATTTCTTCCTCACTGTTGAGGTCTTCCCATCCACTTTATCCCATTTCTACTTCTTACTCTCGAATTCCATCTTCTCTGATGGAACTTTCACCTTGTCTAGCAGTCTGAGCAACCGCGATAGGTCAGTACCATTGGTATGAAACAGACTGCTGGCAACAGTTACCGCAGATAGGCCGTAAAAATTAACTCTGGAGATCCTCGGTCCCACCTGCTAGCGAGTCATGGTATACACTGGGAAGGAATAAAGATGATTGATGCAATAAGAGCTGTAATGGCCAGACCTATCAGATCCGTAGCTTAACCCTTCATCAGAGACAGGAGCATATGGAGGCGGTGGACGCATATGGTATGTAGTGGCTGCGGAACATCGCTGTTACGCAGCCGCACAATTATTTGCTGCCAAATTCGGCGCAATAGATAATTAAAAGGACAGATTTGATCCGACAAAGCAGCATTACAAGCTGTTTTGAAGGCTCGTCGATAGGGACACACACCATGTCGAATCTTGACATGAAAAACACCCTAACTACAGTTCTTCCGTGTAAGTTATCATTTGGGCTTTTGGTGATTCAGGAGCCTAGAGTACTCCAGTGCCTATAGTCATTGTCTCTGGTATAACGCGCGATCGCCAGGGCCACTCAACTTACTACGAGTTTACCTAAAGACGCCCTGGCACGCCCCTGCCACGTACAGTCAGCCTTCCTAGGTAATCAACACGATGACTGACGTGGAAATTCGCTGACTCACTTAAAGTCGGAACACATGCTCACGTTCACCGCGCTGCCTAACCCTACAACTCTTCAGGCCTCCTGTGCGAAATAAAAACCCACCTTCTGACGCCTATATTATTCTCCTCGTAATCGAGGTCTGGCCCGTGAGTCATAGATTTTCGGATCCGCTCGTGACTTTACCTGCTGTGTTAAACTCAAGGTGATTCACGACTAACTTGCGAAATGTGATCATCGCTGTTTATCTGCGAGTGTCTCTGCTGGCGACCAGTCATAGCCGATCGCCGACCGACGGAAGACGGCCATAGAAGTACGCATTTTCCACTT